CCATATCATTCCAAAGGGTTCACATACTTTTTCTTGCAACGGTATAATAGTCCCCAAATGCCTGACTGATCTGTCTGGGGGTTAAGAGTTGTTTTCCCTTAACTACAATTTTTTTTATTATATCAGAACTTCTCTTATTCTTTAACTTACTTGTTAACATTTTACTAGATCAATTGGCAGCATGGTACCATTTTTGTTTTAAAATTAAAATGGCTTCATTGATTTTTAAAAGTGCCTGCTCTGTGATTTCCTTTCTCACGCTTTTGATCTCTGACAAGGCTTCATGGCGTCTTTCTAATTTTTCTAAATTAATATATAAAATGCTTAGTGATTCTCTGTGTTTTTTGTTTGCTTGAGTGACTATTTTTATGAGTATATCTCTTATATAACACTTAAAAGTACACCACAAGGTCATATTAGAAACCTCACCCCTTTCATTTTTATCTAAAAAGTCTTGAATGTGGGATGAAAGACAGAATGTTTTCGCTCTTTCAAAGCAGACTCATTAAGCCGCCAGTTATTCCTGATCTTATATTCTGCGTTATTCTTGAGAGAAACAAAAATAGGGACATGGTCAGACCACGTTATTGAGCCTATTTTAGTATGTGTTAAATAGTTAAATAAATTAGATCTTAACAAAAAGTAATCTAAGCGAGAATATGTTTGGTGCATTTGAGAAAAAAAAGGTATACTCTCGCCCCATTGGATTATTCACTCTCCCTCTGTCATATACTTGGTTCCTATGTAAAGACTTTTGCATTACTTTAGTTGACTTTAAGGTCTGGGAGTCTATCTTAATTTTAGGATTATTTCTATCATATTTATGGTTCATTATGCAGTTAAAATCACCCCCTTTTATTAATCTGCCTGCTTCCAGTTTGTCTATTCGGTTCATAAATTTGTTTAAAACTCTCATAGGGGATTGATTTGGAGCATACAAATTGACAATTGTATATAAAATGTCGTTAATTTTTGCAATTAAAATTAGATACCACCCATTCTCATCCCTTTCCAAAAAAAATTCCTCAAATATGACTTTTTTGAGAGGATAATGGCCACCCCTTTCTTTTGGGTCACCATATTTGCAGCGAATATGTAGGGGTATTTAGAGAACCTAAACCAGAAGCCTTCTCTTGCCAATGCTTTTCTTGAACCAGAACTATATCCACATTATTTTCTTGCAATAATTCATTTAGATGACCACATTTCTGGGGTGAATTCAGGCCCCTGACATTCAAGGAGACTAAATGAATAGACATAAGGTTTACTGACTGTTACACATTTAAGTACATCAACTCTATCCACCCCCACCCCAGGACCTTCTCCAAATATACCACATACCATACATTCAACTTGACCTTCCACCGCCACGTCCTCGAAGGATAGTCGATAAAGGTCCATACCTCCCAACAAAAGCATGAGTAACTCAAATGCATTTTAAAGCCTGTGCTGAGACCTGCAGCCACCGAAGGACGAAAGAAAGCCAAGCAAGAGGGGGAGGCCACACGATAATTCTCTGTATTAATATTTAGAGGCTAAATAAGCTCAACATCTGCACAAAGCCATAAATTAATATCTCTATGAAGGGAGAGGGGAGAAAGAGGGAGGAACGACAGACCTCCTAAAGCATTTAGACCTCTTTCCAGCATGGACGTGGAGCCCGGCAGTGAGACAGAGCATCGGAAGTCTTCAGGTAGGATTCTGATGCTCTGTCTGTAGACTGTCAAAGGTGGAATCAGCCATTGTCACCCCAGGTGACCTACCAGGTGTCAGGATTACTGTTTGATCCAGCACATAGAACTGTACAGCACGGATGACAAATAAGTAACGTATTACCGGTCCTTAGAATGGCCGGATTTAACGTACAAAGAATAGTCAAAAATACTAGCCGAGGTCAGGGAACACAGAAAGGGACACAGCGATGAGGAAAGCCAGGAGTCAGGATACCAGAATATAGAGAAGTCAATAAACAAAGCCAAAGTCAAAAACCAGGTAGAAAACTATAAACAGGAACGCGCTCTCGGACAACCACAAGGGAAACCACGACAGGGCACTGAGCAGGCTGAGAACTGGGCCTAAATACCCCTCCTTTCTTTCTGATAGGCTGTAACCGGCCTTTGACCCCAAAGTCAGTTACCAGGTTTCATTTGCATAATTGCTGCTCAGCATTAACCCTTCTGTGGATTAGGTTGCTGCTCGGCACAACTTTTCCTATGTAGACAGTAAATGTCATTAACCACTTTTCTATAAGTGGATGAATACATAAGACCAGGTTTCATTTGCACAATTACTGCTCAGCATTAAACCTTCTGTGGATTAGGTTGCTGCTCGGCACAACTTTTCCTGTGTGGACAGTAAATGTCATTAACCACATTTCTATAAGCGGATGAATACGTGACACCAGGCCCTTCACGTCCTCCCCTGGCAATCCCTACGCTGCCAAATGACACACCCCTTCCAACCCCCGACCCACAAAAACTACCCCATATGTCTCACCTGCTCACTCCATCCCAGCATCCATAAAAAAGAAAATACTGGATGGGAAGGATGGGAACTTAGTTTCCCTACTCATCGCCTCACAGGATGTCCTTGAAAACTGTGCATATAACTACGGAGACATCTCCGTGGTTTTAAAAACTAGAGACCCACGTCTAAACAAGAAGCTATCTATCCCACAATTCGTTATCGTTTTCGGGATATATAGAGACGTCATTTGTTCTGTGTGTCCACATAGGAGGGAGGAGCTTGATCTTTACATGCATAAGGTGGTTGACCTAGGCATTAAGTACGGGGGGTCCTATTTCTACGACTATCACAAGTCCGTGTCAGCCAAGGCAGCAACTGGCCCAATTTAATATCAGAATCGACTGGTGCCAGATGGATACAGAGTTGTTCTGCAGACACTTTGCCGGATTGAGGTCCCCGTCCTGTGCCGCCTGTAGCTCTACGTCCCACTCCACAGACTTGTGCCCTTGTGAGGAAGACCCTCCCCCTAAACACCACTCCTTCACCCCACACACTAGGCAAAAAGGCGGGCACAGGTACACCTGCGTTTCTGGGCAAAGCGCAGGTGTGCAACAATTTTAATGCTGGCGCATGCAGCTTCAGCACATACAGGTTGTTGCACGTCTGCTCCATTTGTTTTAGAGCGCATACCAAGACCGTGTGCCCAGCTAGACTTTCCCCTAAAAAAATGACTGACCGAGGTCAACATAGATATTATGGCCTACTACCTACGTTTCCAACAAGCCAGGCATTTGGTGGAATTTTTGGTGAAGGGATTTTCAAAAGGGTTACACACGGGCCTCATTGCCATTCCCACAGGCACTCTTGAATGCCCAAACCTGCTCTCAGCATGTAATGACCCTCTCACGGTGGACCTCCTGTCCACAGAAAACTAAGGCAGGTTTCATGATTGGCCCATTCACAGTATCCCCTTTTTCATCCTGGCGTACCAACCCCATCGAGGTGGCTGTGCACAAATACTCTTATAAAAAAAGATTGATTATTGACCTCTCTGCACCTCATTCTTCGCACACCCCCAGCATAAACTCTCTCATACCCGCTGAGGAGTTTTCATTACATTACGCTAAAATCGACTACGCTATGCAAGCCATCATCACAGCAGGCAGCAAGGAATGGCTAAGCAAAACCGACATTGCCAATGCCTTCAAGCTCTTACCCATTCACCCCTCACTATGGCACTTATATGGTGTTAAATGGCAGGACAGATATTTTTCTACCCGGCTCACTTTTGGGTCTAGGAGCAGCCCTAAGCTGTTTGATATATTCGCAGAAACGCTCTGCAGGCTGCTCCTAAACATAGTTAGGTGTCCGTCCGTCATTCACTATTTGGATGATTTTTTTATTGGTAGAACCAGGTTCCCACGCACCTAGTAGCATTTACATCACCACAGCCCTCTTCACTATACCAGGTGTGCCCCTGTTTTGGACACAGTCGTTTCAAACCAGCCTACCACCAGAGAAATTGACCTGCATTAGGGACAAAACCACTCTGTTCCTGCGGAGTGATACGTGCACCAGAAAGGGACTTCAGTCATTATTGGGGTCCCTTAACTTTGCGATGCGGTTCATTCCACAGGCTACTGTGTCTACTCCATGGGGTGCCCGACTCCTGCCCAATTACATTAAACGATCCAGCCAGGGCAGATTTGCACATGTGGAGGAACTTCTTGTCTAAGTGGAATGGAGTCTCCCTGTTCATTCCTCCGATATTCGATCTTTCCCCTACAATTTACACAGACACAGCAGCACACACTGGGTTTGCGGCTATATTTGGAAACCACTGGTTTAGGGATAACTGGCCTTGCCGGCCTTTAGAGAAACATCCTCATTGTTCAACATTTACCCCATCATTGCGGCCGCTCATACATGGGGTCATCTTTGGACCGGCAAGGCAGTCAAATGCTGCTCAGACAATTCATCAGCCTGCAAAATTATCAACAAGGGGTGGTCTTCCTCTCTAACAATTATGAGGCTGGTATGTAAGCTGACTTGGCTAGCAGCAACCGCTCAGTTTCACCTTGTGTGCGTACACATTCCTGGTATTCATAACATAGCTTCTGACGCTCTTTCCCGCTCTCATTTTCTGATATTCTTCAAGGCACTCCCTATGGCCCACCACCTACCATCCAGGATACCACCTTTTCATGAGTTACTAATGGACTAACTGAGCTACTACGACACGCTCAGGCACTCACACACCACACACTCGCACCCAACACCACTACCACTTACGCTAGGGCGTTGACAATTTTCAACACGTTCACTGCAGAGTTTCACTTACAAGGAGAATTCTCTATTAAAACCATGGTGGCTTTTGCCTTCTTCTGTCACCTACACCTCAAATTATTTCACAACACCATCATGCCAATGTAACAGGGTTGATGTTCCAGGAGGGATAAGCCAAATGGCAAACGATTTATGTAAACTTGAAAAATGGTCAGAGTTGTGGCAACTGACATTTAATGTGGATAGGTGCAAGATAATGCATCTTGGACTTAAAAACCCAAGGGCAGAGTACAGAATATTTGATAGAGTCCTAACCTCAACATCTGAGGAAAGGGATTTAGGGGTGATTATTTCTGATGACTTAAAGGTAGGCAGACAATGTAATAGAGCAGCAGGAAATGCTAGCAGAATGCTTGGTTGTATAGGGAGAGGTATTAGCAGTAGAAAGAGGGAAGTGCTCATGCCATTGTACAGAAAACTGGTGAAACCTCACTTGGAGTATTGTACACAGTACTGGAGACCGTATCTTCAGAAGGATATTGATACCTTAGAGAGGGTTCAGAGAAGGGCTACTAAACTGGTTCATGGATTGCAGGATAAAACTTACCAGGAAAGGTTAAAGGATCTTAACATGTATAGCTTGGAGGAAAGACGAGACGGGGGGATATGATAGAAACATTTAAATACATAAAGGGAATCAACACATTAAAAGAGGAGACCATATTTAAAAGAAGAAAAACTACCACAACAAGAGGACATAGTCTTACATTAGAAGGGCAAAGGTTTAAAAATAATATCAGGAAGTAGGGTAGTGGATGCATGGAATAGCCTTCCAGCTGAAGTGGTAGAGGTTAACACAGTAAAGGAGTTTAAGCATGCGTGGGATAGGCATAAGGCTATCCTAACTATAAGATAAGGCCAGGGACTAATGAAAGTATTTAGAAAATTGGGCAGACTAGATGGGTAGAATGGTTCTTATCTGCCGTCACATTCTATGTTTCTATAAGTTTACCTTTTCTAATCACGCACCTTTTTTAGCATCATACCCTATTGAGAACATTCTTAAAGGTATTCATAAAGTAACAGTTCCTCCTGCAACTAGCAGATTGCCCATAAATGGGCCTATCTTTAGATTACATAGCGACCTACTGGAAAATCTCCTTTCGATTATCACACAAACTCTGTTGTAAAGGCCACCATCTTTATCGCTTTCTATGGCTTTCTTAGACCTAGGGAGTTTACTGTTGTACGCCAGGTAGATACCACGTCAACTCTAAAGCTGTTTCACCTAAAGAAAGTCGATGACCACTACGTCCTTTCATTACTAAAACACACCACACCAATCATCCCACTACTATTCCTCTCTTCCCTACCGGGCAGTCAAAGTACTCAACACTTTTCTAGAATCTCACCATGTGCACTCACCTGACACCCCACTATTACTACTCCAAGGGCACCCGCTCACCACAGCTAAGTTCACGTCCCATGTCAGAACTCTGCTCTCAAGGTTAGGTTACAACCCGGCTTCCTTCTTCGGTCACTCCTTCCGTATAGGCGCAGCATCATCAGCATCTAGCTCAAACACACCAGTCCACATCAAGAGACTGGGACACTGGAAATCCTCAATTTACAATACTTACATATCACGACTGGAGAAAGAACTACGACAAGCATTTAGAAGTCTAGAATTATAACAAGCAATAAAGTGTGTTTTCTTTGCATCCTCCTTTTTGCCCTCTTTTATTACAGGCCTACTCGTTCGTTGGTTTCCGCATACCTCAACCAACTATGCATCTTCTTACACTTTCCATAACCAATTAAATTCCAAGCACAAGTTAAAAGGCCATTAGGCCTGAATTTGTGGGAGGAGTTATGGCCCCTACTTAAACTCCCAGCCCCTACTCATCTCTGCTGTTCAAGCCGATTGACCGCACCAACCTACACCCATCTAAATATTACATTTCACCTTTGTGGGCCCTCTTATTACAGGCCTACTCGTTCGTTGGTTTCGGCACACCTCAACCAACTTCTTACACTTTCCATAACCAATTAAATTAAGAGCACAAATATATATTAAAAAAAAATAATAATTAAAAATAAATAAAAAAACTGCAAATATTATTTTTACAAAATTATATATTTATACAGTTGCAAGAAAAAGTATGTGAACTCTTTGGAATGATATGGATTTCTGCACAAATTGGCCATAAAATGTGATCTGACCATCATCTAAGTCACAACAATAGACAATCACAGTCTGCTTAAACTAATAACACACAAAGAATGAAATGTTGCCATGTTTTTATTGAACACACCATGTAAACATTCACAGTGCAGTTGGAAAAAGTATGTGAACCCTTGGATTTAATAACTGCTTGAACCTCCTTTGGCAGCAATAACTTCAACCAAACGTTTCCTGTAGTTGCAGATCAGACGTGCACAACGGTCAGGAGTAATTCCTGATATTCCTCTTTACAGAACTGTTTCAGTTCAGCAATATTCTTGGAATGTCTGTTGTGAATCGCTTTCTTGAGGTCATGCCACAGCATCTCAATCCGGTTAAGGTCAGGACTCTGACTGGGCCACTTCAGAAGGCGTATCGCTTTCTTGAGGTCATGCCACAGCATCTCAATCCGGTTAAGGTCAGGACTCTGACTGGGCCACTTCAGAAGGCGTATTACGCTTTGGGTCATTGTCCTGTTGCAACACCCATCTTCTGTTGAGCTTCAACTGGTAGACAGATGGCGTTAAGTTCTCCTGCAAAATGTCTTGATAAACTTGGGAATTCATTTTTCCTTCGATGATAGCAATCCGTCCAGGCCCTGACGCAGCAAAGCAGCCCAAAACCATGATGCCCCCACCACCATACTTCACAGTTGGGATGAGGTTTTGATGTTGGTGTGCTGTGCCTTTTTCGCCACACATAGTGTTGTGTGTTTCTTCCAAACAACTCAACTTTGGTTTCATCTGTCCACAGAATATTTTGCCAGTACTGCTGTGGAACATCCAGGTGCTCTTGTGCAAACTGTAAACGTGCAGCAATGTTTTGTTTGGACAGCAGTGGCTTCCTCTGTGGTATCCTCCCATGAAATCCATTCTTGTTTAGAGTTTTACGTATTGTAGATTCGCTAACAGGGATGTTAGCATTTGCCAGTGACTTTTGTTAGTCTTTAGCTGACACTCTAGGAATTCTTCTTCACCTCATTGAGCAGTCTGCGCTGTGCTCTTGCAGTCATCTTTACAGGACGGCCACTCCTAGGGAGAGTAGCAGCAGTGCTGAACTTTCTCCATTTATAGACAATTTGTCTTACCGTGGACTGATGAACAGCAAGGCTTTTGGAGATACTTTTATAACCCTTTCCAGCTTTATGCAAGTCAACAATTCTTAATCATAGGTCTTCTAAAAGCTCTTTTGTGCGAGGCATCATTCACATCAGGCAATGCTTCTTGTGAAAAGCAAACCCAGAACTGGTGTGTGTTTTTTATAGGGCAGGGCAGCTGTAATCAACACCTCCAATCTCATCTCATTGATTGGACTCCAGTTGGCTGACATCTAACTCCAATTAGCTCTTGGAGATGTCATTAGTCTAGGGGTTCACATACTTTTTCCACCTGCACTGTGAATGTTTACATGGTGTGTTCAATAAAAACATGGCAACATTTCATTCTTTGTGTGTTATTCGTTTAAGCAGACTGTGATTGTCTTTTGTTGTGACTTAGATGATGATCAGATCACATTTTATGACCAATTTGTGCAGAAATCCATATCATTCCAAAGGGTTCACGTACTTTTTCTTGCAACTGTATATATATATATATATATATATAATTTTATTAAAACTGTATTTTGATATTATTTATATATATTTATATCAAAATACACTTAGAGTGAAATTATATATCTATGTATATCCCCTTAACGACCATGGGCGTACTATGTACATCCGACAAAAAAACGGTTGTTGAGGACCGCAGTCGTATTGAGTACGACTGCAGCAAATAGGAGCCCTGAACCTACCTAGACCAACGATCCGCAGTGATCACAGTCGGGGGGGGGGGACAGATGGAGACACCAGCAGTTCCCCTACAGCAACTCTGGCCACCCTGGCCCTCCAGGGCCATGTGATCACCATGATCATGTCACCTCAATAGGAGTCTAGGAGCTGCCAGCAGGGGGACTGTCTGAGCTGTCAGGCAGTCCCCCAGACTGCTAAAAATGTGAAATATACATATATGTGTATATATATATATATATATATATATATATATATATATATATATAATCTCTATATCTCAAAAAATAAAGGGAACACAAAAATAACACATCCTAGATCTGAATTAATTAAATATTCTTCTGAAATACTTTGTTCTTTACATAGTTGAATGTGCTGACAACAAAATCACACAAAAATAAAAAAATGGAAATCTAATTTTTCAACCCATGGAGGTCTGGATTTGGAGTCACACTCAAAATTAAAGTGGAAAAACACACTACAGGCTGATCCAACTTTGATGTAATGTCCTTAAAACAAGTCAAAATGAGGCTCAGTAGAGTGTGTGGCCTCCACGTGCCTGTATGACCTCCCTACAACGCCTGTGCATGCTCCTGATGAGGTGGCGGATGGTCTCCTGAGGGATCTCCTCCCAGACCTGGACTAAAGCATCTGCCAACTCCTGGACAGTCTGTGGTGCAACGTGATGTTGGTGGATGGAGCGAGACATGATGTTCCAGATGTGCTCAATTGGATTCAGATCTGGGGAACGGGCGGGCCAGTCCATAGCATCAATGCCTTCGTCTTGCAGGAACTGCTAACACACTCCAGCCACATGAGGTCTAGCATTGTCTTGCATTAGGAGGAACCCAAGGCCACCAGCATTTGGTCTCACAAGAGGTCTGAGGATCTCATCTCGGTACCTAATGGCAGTCAGGCTACCTCTGGCGAGCACATGGAGGGCTGTGCATCCCCCCCAAATAAATGCCACCCCACACCATTACTGACCCACTGCTAAACCGGTCATCTTGGAGGATGTTGCAGGCAGCAGAACTTCCTCCACGGCGTCTCCAGACTCTGTCACATCTGTCACATGTGCTCAGTGTGAACCGGCTTTCATCTGTGAAGAGCACAGGGCGCCAGTGGTGAATTTGCCAATCTTGGTGTTCTCTGGCAAATGCCAAACGCCCTGCACGGTGTTGGGCTGTAAGCACAACCCCCACTTGTGGATTTCTGGCCCTCATTCCACCCTCATGGAGTCTGTTTCTGACCGTTTGAGCAGACACATGCACATTTGTGGCCTGTTGGAGGTCATTTTGCAGGGCTCTGGCAGTGCTCCTCCTGTTCCTCCTTGCACAAAGGAGGAGATAGCGGTCCTGCTGCTGGGTTGTTGCCCTCCTACGGCCTCCTTCATGTCTCCTGATGTACTGGCCTGTCTCCTGGTAGCGCCTCCATGCTCTGG